GCTTTGTCTTTCTAGTTCCTTGGGGTTCATGGCTGTATGAGATCTTGTTTATTATTTCAGCCCTTTATCACTTCCTGCCAGCAGTGCTTTTGCTATATCCCATCTCTTTGGCATGTTGCATTGACATTTTCGTTCGCAAATATTTTCTCCCATTTAATTTCCTCGTCAATCATTGGTTACTCCATTACATGTACTTTACTCTCCACATTTTAAAAAATTTTTTGGTTCTATTTTCTCTTGATTCGTGTTTTTTTTTTGCTTGCAACACTTTGCCTATATCCTGCCACTCCCTTCTGGCCTTCAAAGTTCATACTGAAAAATCTGAGTGTCTTATGAGGCTTCCTTTGCCTATTACACGTTTTTACAGTGGCTGCTTTTTTCGGTGGGGAGGGGGATTCCTGAGAAGTGCTCAGAGGGGCTTTAGGGACCAACCCTGGCAAAAGTCCGCCCACCTGGACAGGCAGTTCAATGTTGGTGCCTGGCATTGTGGCATTACTTGTGCACTTGTGCTTCATTGGGGACCTCCATGGCCACACCTGGAAGTGCTCAGGGGGGTCCTATGGTGTTGGGTCTAATGTGGGTCCTTTCGCGTCCCCTTGATCCCTGAGCTATCCCTCCAAGCTTCCTTGTTTGCTCTGGCTTAGGGCCACCCCAGCTGTGTTCAGCGCTTCCTGCTGGCTCTGTCTAGGGATCACTCCTGCTGGGACTTGGGGGACCCTGTGTGGTGCCAGGGGTTAAACCCAGGTTGACTGCTTGCAAGACAAGTGCTCTGCCCACCCTACTGCCCTCTGGTCCCCAACCCCACTTGCTCTCAAGATTTTCCCTGTTTTTTTTTTTTTTTTTACAATTTTGTTAAAATGCCCCTTGTTGTGGCTTTGAATTCAACTTATTTATTTTACACTTGATTTAGCCCAAAGGCCGAGAAATAATCAATCTTTTTTATTTGGTTTGGGGGCCCTACCTGGATCGCTCCTGGCGGACTCAGGGAACCATATAGGATGCTGAGGATGGAACCCAGGTTGGCAGTGTGCAGGCCTTACTCATTGTACATTTGCTCTAGCCCCTCAATCTTATTTAAAATTTTCTGGGCTTCCGAGCTAGGGAAGATTTTAGTTATTATTTCTTTGAATACATAGTCTCCCCTCTACCCCTTTCTTCTTTCTGGCTCCTATAATGCAAACACTGGTCCATTTGTTGGTATTTGCTAATCTCTTAAGCTCTCTTCATTTCTCCCTTCCTTTGACCCCTGTGAATGCCACAGTCCTCTCTCTGCTGCGTCCTTTCTCCCACGCTTAGTCGGCTATTGAGTTGTATCGATTGTGTTCAGCTCTGTGATTTTTGTACTGTGATGAAATTCTTCCTGCATGTATTATCCTCCTTCATCACTTAATCACTTAACTTCCCGTTAGTCGTCGATTTGCTCGAGCGGGCGCCAGTAACGTCTCCATTTGTCCCTGTCGCGTGCTAGTGTAGCCCAATGGTATCTCTTCGCTCCGGGAACATGGAGGGCCTCAAACCGATCGTTCATGACCTTGACAAAGAAGTCTGACCATCCTCCTTCATAAAGAATCTTTATGAAGAGTGCTTTGGACTCTCAGATAAATCACTTATACATCAAGGTCTGTTTCTGGAGTTATCTTACTTGGAATATATTATTCCTGTTTCCTCATTTTCCTGTCTTATGATTTCTGTTAGACAAAGCCACCATATCATGAAGGAATGGTGGTTTTTTGTTTTGTTTTGTTTTTTTTGTAGGAGTCGACTTTGTTCAACTATGAGATTTTGTTGTTTTTTATTTTGAGTCATACCCACGATGCCCGGGGAAGACTCCTGGTCTGGTATTTGGTGGTTGCCCTTGGCAATGCATAGGGGACCAAGCAGTGCTGGATACGAAACTGGACGCAGAGTGTGTGCTCCAGCCCGGGGAACCAGGGTCACCTAGTGAGTTCTCTTCCTCTTGGTCACTGTCTAAGGACTTGTTTTTCTTAGTTGAGGAAAGTCCTGTCAGTGCTCCAAGGGCAGGATATCAGCACCTATATATTTTTTTGATGGTGGGGAGAGGGCAGGGGATGGACCATAAGCAAGCATGATGCTCAGGGGTTACTCCTGGCTCTGCACTCCTGGCAGTGCTCAGGAATTATTCCTGGCAGTGCTCAGGAAACCATTTGGAATGCCAGGGATTGAACCTAGGTTGGCTATGTGCAAGGCAAATGCCCTACCCACTGTACTATTGCTCCAGCCCCCTACCTAGGCTTTTAAAGAGAGGAATACCCACCTCTCAGGAGGAGTGTGGGATGAATCTCTCTCAGGGAAAATATGGGATACACCCCTCTCACGAGGACTGTGGGACAGACCCCCTCTTAGGAGGAATGTGGGATGGACCCCTCTCAGGAGGAGGGTGGGATGGAGTCCTCTCAGGAGGAGTGCAGGAATGACCCCTCTCAGGGGGAATGTGGGGTGGACCCCTCTCAGGAGGAGGGTGGGATGGAGTCCTCTCAGGAGGAGTGCAGGAATGACCCCTCTCAGGGGGAATGTGGGGTGGACCCCTCTCAGGAGGAGGGTGGGATGGAGTCCTCTCAGGAGGAGTGCAGGAATGACCCCTCTCAGGGGGAATGTGGGGTGGACCCCTCTCAGGAGGAGGGTGGGATACACCCTCTCATGACGTGGCTGCTTATAGTGCTGCTGCAGGCTGGTCTGCTGAGGGGGCAGGTGAGCTCAGGAGACAGTTGTGTTGCCATCTTGGATTAGGTACCTAAGAAATGTTTTGATCTAACAATCCTGGATACCAAATTATTCTGAAATCTGACAAACACACTGGCACAGAGAGCTGTTTCCGCCCAAGCCCTCCCTAATGGCCCAGGAATCACGCTTCTCCACTTTGTTCGATCAGGCTCACTGGTCCTGAGACAAAGTTTGGACTAAAGATCGAAACTTCTGCTGAGCTTAAGTGTTTCCACACTCCAGAATCCGGTCTGGAACTCAGAGGTACTTACTTCACTCCTAGTCCATGCTGGAAAGCAGATGAAGAACTGGGATTTTTACAAGGATGACTTACAGTTTGGAAATGATCTAGATAGGAAACTGCTTTTTTCATGCCTTGTACTTTATTCAGGTAATCTGTAAAATGTCACTTTTCATAAAGCAAATATCCAGGGAGTGCTCGACAGCCCATAATAAGGCACGGTCAATTGTATGAAGTACTTTCAAATGAAATTTATTGAATGTGTTGAAATTTTCCCCCACACAATTTTATACCAAATGGCAAAGATAAATCATGCGATAGTGTTATCTTATTACAAAGAGACGAGAATTCAGCAGGTTTGGCCTAAACTTAGGTTCAGACGAAAGGAAACACGCAGGGCACTGTCAGTCTGCCACAGGCCCGCACTGGCCAGGGAGAGCTGGTCACTGGAACCGTGGGAGAAAGACCCTGTTGCAAAGGGCACCACTCATGGCCTCCGGTCCTGTCTCATCTTTCTATGTGACATTTAATTCACACCCTGAGGTAAGAGGGGTCTCAGTATTCCTGAGTTTTGGGGTTCCAAGGTAAACCTTGGGCAAGCTTAGGAGACATGTGATGAGGTAAATGGGTAACAAGGATCATAAAAATTTTCAGTTTACTTTCTTCTTGAACAAAATCATTGAAAGCTTTTTCACATGGAGTTATAGGGAGCTTCATTTGAATTTTTTTTTCAGAAACGATATTTAAGACTTGAAATAGAATCATTTTATTGATGTTCTGAGTTTAAAGCTATTTCAAATACATTTCACATTTTGTGTTCTTCAGGGGATGATTCTTTTCAAAATATGGACTTAAACCTCACAAAACTGTGGGCAAGAAAGTGTCCCTCATCTCCGACTCATGGAATAAACAGAAACGTGAGGGTGAGAGCTGTCTGTGGCTGAGCACTCTGGCCCTGGTCCCCACACCGGATTTTCCAAGCCCGTCTGGAATGGCGACAGTGAGACTTTGAGGGCTGGGGTCCGATTCCATGACTGTCCAGCAACTCTTGTTTCAACAGGTTGAGCTGTTCAGGAAAACCCTGAACTAAGGAAGGAAGAAAATGATCTAGAAGGACAGTGCTCAGTGCCGAGGACAAAGACAGGCTCCCTGTGGCATCTCGCAGGGAGGCGAGAACAGTTCCGTCACCTGTGGGGTCGCTCACTGGGAAACCATCAGATGAGACAGGAGCGAACCAAGGTCAAAGGCCGGCGCCGGCTCCAGGCCAGGACTAGCCCACGCGAATGTCAGTGCTCAGAATGGCAAAGAAACGTCCACAGCAGCACTGCCAGCTCCAAAGACTTCAAAGGTAGAAGGAACGTCCACTAACGGGATGCACTCAGGATGGGATACAGTCGGCCATACGCAGGAATGTGGTACCTATCCGGGCCATGTCACTGTGACCCCAGGAACATCAGGCCGAGAGAAAGCAGCGGGACGGGGTCCCCACTGCCAGTTCACGCACAGGAAATGCTGCTACGGGCCCATCCTGAGAGAAAGGAGGGCAGTGTCTGCCGAGGGCATGTGACTCGTGGGTCAACAGTGCTAAGGAAACGCTGGCAGGATTCCCCAGCTCTCCCATCCTCACTAGCACCTTTGAGGTTTGGGATCGAAGCAAAAGGACATACAGTGAAAGGCCCTCGAGGAACCTCCTTTCTCTGGAATGGCTCTTCCCTCCCCAGTGTTCTGTGTTCTAAGGAAACAACCTGAATGTCGAGGGCCTGATGTATAGAAATTATTTAGCTCAAGAGAATCTGGGAATCATTTTGTTGTTTTTGTTTTTGGCTAAACCCGGCGGGGCTCTGGGCTTACTCCTGGCTCTGTGTTCTGGCGACACGTGGTGCTGGGTGTTGACCCAGCCTTGCCCAGGTGCAAGGCAAGTGTTCTACCCACTGTACTATCACTCTACTCCTGAGAATCTTGGTACTATTATGTCTTTACACACACACACACACGTGCGTACACACATACACACACACACACACACACACACACACACACACACGACAACTGAGTAGTTTTACCCCCGATCAATCATGGGTTAGCTACTTTCTCTTTTACGGGGACAAAATCCCACATATAGGTAGCTACCATCTAGAATTTCTCTAGGGTAGAATGATTTTTAAGAAGAAACATTTGTTCATGGCATTATGAAAATAAAGTGACAAGACAATGAGCCCTGGGGAGCACAGTCTAACATGACCACGCGACAGTTTCCATTTCAGTTCCCGGAAGTCCACAGCACGTGGAAACTGGCAACAAAGCCCGACTCCTCTGTGCCAGCTCCTGCTCGGTCCGGTGAGGTTCTCTCCAAATGGCATCTGGGGGCAAAGTGGGGGAGATGGGAGCGGTGTGTGTGTGGGGGGCGAGGCTTCCCGAGAACCCAGGCAAACTCCCAACACCACTAGGCCCACGTTGAAATTCTTGGAAATCCAAGATGGCAGTGTGGGCTTCTTATTTTTTTGGAGGGGAAGAGGTGGGCAGAGGGACACACCTGGCAATGCTTAGGGATCACTCCTGGCAGTGCTCAGGGGATGCTGGGGATTGAACCCAGGTTGGCTGGGGGCAAGGTAAGTGCTCTCCCCGCTGCCCTCTTGCCCCAACCCCAGGCTTCTTTCTGTGTCTGTACTTTTCGGAACAAAAGCCCACGGCCCTAGGCCCGCGGCCCACTCCAGATGCGCGGGGTCCCGACCATCCGCACGGCAGCTGAGCGCCAGAAAGAATGAAAACACCAGGTTCCCCACACCGTATGTGCTCATGAGGGAAGGAGGGCGGCCGTCAGTTTTCCAGGTCTTTGGCTAAAGTCTCTCGGATGAACTGTAAGGTGCGCTGGTATAAAAAAGCATCCTTCTTCTTTGGCTTACAGATGTCCAAGTGGTTCACATCCACCGAAATGAGGTCTCCGATGCCTAGATCTGAGGGAAGCAGAATCACACCCTTAAAACCCCGTGAGAACACAGACTTCCCTGCCCCGCCCCGCCCAGGCCCTGCGTGGTCAGGGGAAGCTTCTAGATGGAGACTCAGTGGTCCTGTGGGACTCGACTGAGAGGCAGTGACGTGTGACCAGCTCAACATGTGGTGTGCATGTGAGAATGGCTTCTCTGTTGGCCCTAGGAATGGTCCATACTCTCTGATTTGGGGGGCCACACCTGGTAGTGCTCAAGGCTCACTCCTGGCGGGCTCAGTGGATCATATGGGGTGCTGGGGACGGAGAATGGGTCAGCAAGACAAGCGCCCTCCCCACTGTCTCATCACTGTGTGCTTCTCAAAAGTCTACGTGTGTCCACCACTTCCTGCCTCACCGGGAAACCTGCCCACATGTGGTCCCTTCCAAACCTTCCCCAACGGCCAATCCCGGCCACGTTTGCCCATGCCCTTTCCTAGCACTTAGACGAACATCACTGTGGTGAGAAGCCAGGACCTGTCCTCCACCCTGTCATGGCATCAGGGGGAGACAGAGTGGTGCCTGAGGGCTTGGGGGAGTGGGGGTGACGGTCCAGTCCCTGGACGGGAGGACACCAGCAAGACCAACTAGGCTAGGGGCTGTCCCAGGGCAGTGGGCCCAGCCTCCTGTGGGCACCTCTGCCCACTACCCTCCCCACTCGGTGCTTGGCTACTGCCGGGCCGCCCACCTCAGGCTGCCAACCACAGCAGAGCCTCTTCCGGTGCCCCTTCAGTTCTGCTCTTGGTTCCACTTTCTGTTCTGCTTCAATTCCTAGGTGGATTTTGTTTTGTTTCTGTGATTGTTCAGTGTGGGGGGGCAGCTGGGACACTCCCGGGGGTGCTCGGGAGACCAAATTCTGTGCTGGGATCAAACCAGGGCGGCTGTGTGCAAGACAAGCACTTTGCCGACAGACGTATCTTTGGGCCCAGGGCTTTCTACTCTGTTTTATTGCACTCAGGGATCACTCCTGGCGGTGCTCGAGAGACCATGTATGATGCCGGGGATCGAATCCGGGTCAGTGGCGTGCAAGACAAGCGCCCTCCCCGCTGTCCTATGGTCCTCCTGGGAATGACGGCCCTCCTGACGCTTGCCTCTGGGTGAGTGACTCCTGCACATCCCACACAGGGACGTGGGTCCCCACACCCGTGCTGGCAGAGAAGCGCCCACCAGAGGCTCCTGGGTGTGATGGAGCTGAATGCCAGAGCCCCCGCCTGACATGGAGACACAGACCAGTTCCGGGGGCCACCGGGCAGGGCTGAGCGCTCACCTGCCGACTCGGCGGGCACCACATGCAGCTTGATCATGCTCCCGATGTAGGTGGGCAGCGTCTCCACGAAATTCAGCACCTGGAAGTTCTGGCCTTTCGCAAACTCCAGGAAATCCTCCTGCAGAATTTTCAGTTCAGGAGAATCTGGACGAGGACAGAGGGCACAGCTGGGACGGGGCGATCAGAGCCGCGGCCCAGGGGTGCTGAGCAGAGGGGTCGCTTCCTGCTCAAGGCGGGGACTCCAAACCCCCTTCTCGGGACCACTCTGCCCGCGGGACGGGGGAGGGGGGGCAAATGGGCAGGGCAGGGAGCAGACAGAGGCACGCAAAGAACCTTCTAGTAGGATCCTTAGGAAGTCCTACAGCTTCCGCAACAATAACGGGTGAGCGGACCCCAAAAGCTCGACAGCAAAAAAAAATGGAAACTCGACAGAAGCTTTAGGAGCTCCAGGCAAGTAACTGCATAAAGCAGAGCAGAGAGACGCTATGGGCAGAAAGAAGGCGGCGGCTTCCCACGGGAGCGGTGGGTGCCAACTTAGCAGCAGCTGCCAGCAGACAGAAACGCTTGTGGCAACGGGCATCACTGTGGGTGTGCAAGAGCCTCTGGGCATGTATGCATGTGTACATGTGTTTGTGTGCATACGTGTGCACAGGGTTCAGACCTAAGGGGGGGAGAGAGAGAGAGAGAGAGAGAGAGAGAGTGTGTGTGTGCGCGCGTGCGCACAGGGGTCAGACCCAGGGAGTGTGTGTGTGTGTGTGTGTGTGTGTATGGTGCTCAGACCCAGGGAGTGTGTGTGTGTGTGTGTGTGTGTGTGTGTGTGTGTGTGGTGCTCAGACCCAGGGAGTGTGTGTGTGTGTGTGTGTGGTGTGTGTGTGTATGGTGCTCAGACCCAGGGAGTGTATGTGTGTGTGTGTGTGTGTGTGTGTGTGTGTGTGTGGTGCTCAGACCCAGGGAGTGTGTGTGTGTGTGTGTGCACGCGCGCGAGCATGTGTGCATGGTGCTCAGACCCAGGGAGTGTGTGTGTGTGTGTGTGTGTGTGTGTGTGTGCGCGCGCACAGGACCCAGACCCAGGGAAGCAGCCGTCTGCTGGCGGCTTGGAGTAACAGAGCAGACACGTCAGGAGTGGCTGCCTGTGGAGAGCACGGCAGAGCAGCCCGAGGGCCGTCCCAGAGGATTCCCAGCCCACACTGAGCAACGGTCCCGAGAGCGGACGTGGGCACTGGACAGCCCAGGGCGGAGAGGACGGCCGGGGAGGCAGGACCTTTGCTGAGCTCCTTGACCTCCAGGGAGGGGAAGAGCAGGTAGCGGACGTTGACCGAGTACTCGGCCAGGTGGGAGCCGCGGTGGGGCACGCTGTAGAAGATGACCCCGCGCGTGTTGCTGGCCAGCCGGCTCATCTCGGGCTTCTTAGAGGCCTCCAGCAGCATCTTCTTGACAAGAAGACCTGGCCGGGGGAGGGAGGGGGAGAGAAAGGACCGCAAAGGAAGCTATTTTCTTGGGCATCGATGTTCAAGAGAGGGGGGCAGAATGAGGGTTCCAGGACAGGCAGTGCGTTCTTGGAAGCAGCCGAGTGAGTGAGCCCTGAGACCCTGCTTGGGAGACCACCCGCAGGGAAGATTCTAGAGGCTCGGCTGTGGGCTGCTCCATCGCAGAGACCAGTTCCTGGGGCCCCGGGGTGGGGAGACGGCCACAAGGCTGCAGGCCCTGCCCAGCCACACCCTCAGGCTCACCTGCCAGGACCCCCACACCCCTCCCGATGGGGGCATTGTCCCAGATGCTGGTCCCTGAGGCTGGTCCAGCAGTGCCAGTGGGCCAGGAGGACACAGGGCGCCCACGGTTACCTAGCCAGGCCTCAGGCTTGGGGAGCTGCTATCACCCTGCACCTCAGCAGAGCCAGCTGGGAGTGGGGGGCCAGGGAGGGGGGGTGGGATTCTGAAAGCTGCATTGGCTGGTTCCCAACCCCCCAAGAGCAGGTCAGATTCTGGCACTGTTGGGGTCTCCCCTGCCGGGAAACACGGGCAGCCTGGAGGGAAAGGCCTTTCCGACTCCGGCTCATCCCCAAACGCCGGGGAGGGGAAAGGGCCCTCGCTAGGGAGAGGGGACGGCCCGTGAGTGCCCAGCTAGGAGGATGACTGGCCCAGCAGGCCTGTGAGTCCCTTGTTGGCCTTGGCCATGCTGGGGACCTCGGGGCCAGTGCTGGAGAGGCGCTGCACGCCTGAGGTGCAGGGATGGAAACTGAGGCAGGCGTGTCCCCGCTGCAGCCTCGGGGCACTCCCTCTGGGAGAGAGACAGACTCACCCCCCATGCTGTGGGACACCCAGATCACGGGCCGCTCCCCTACGCCGGCGGCTCGGAGCTTCTGCAGCAGTTCGTTGCTCCTGAATGCAATGGACTTCCTGGGCGGGAAGAGCACAGGGCCGGGATGGTGGGGGTTGGGGGGCTGCCCCACGCATGCCGGGAGAGCCCCCGTCACAGCAGCGCTGCTCACCTGTGCTTGCCTGGCTATTTCGAGACCCTGGCAAGCTCGGGGGCCAGGGAGAGAGCACAGCGGGGAGGGCGCTTGCCTTGCATACAAGGGGCCCAGGTTCGATCCCTGGCATCCCAGAGGGTACCCTGAGCAGGCAGGAGAAAGTCCTGAGCACAGCGTGGTGTAGCCGAAAAACTAACTCAAGAGAGCCACTGACTGACAGCTCTCGGCGACAGCAGCTGGCTTTCCGATGGAACGGGGGTTTCAAAGCTCTAGGTTGTCCCACTTGCTGTCAGGAGCAGCCGGGGGCCCGGGGCATGCCCAGCTGCGCTCAAGGGGCTGAGAGAGGCCGAGACCTCCTTAAGCTGCAGGCCCAGCCTCCCCCGCTCATGCCGCTGAGGGGATGGCAGGTCCCGGGGACAGGCAGCAGGATGCCTCGCCCTGCCCAGTGCCCACTGGGCTGGGGTTCCTCTAGGGGGAAGGGGCGAGGCTTGGGGAGGTTTCCTCAAGAAGTCCTGCCTGCGCATCCAGAGATCCCCCCCGCCGCCCCACCCGTGAGAAGGCCCCCCGCCCCTGTTACCTTTCCATCGGGCACCGTGCCCGCCAGTCGCTCAGGCTGGTGTCGTACTCCACAGAGATGATGCGGAGCGCGGGGCAGTCTCTCGCGAGCCACGACTGGGTGGGGGCGGGAGAGAGCAGGCGTGAGCCTCCCCTGAGACCACCCCAGGAGCACCTGAGCTCTCTCCGTTTTGGGGAGCCGAGGGTACTCGTGACGTCAGGCCAGCAGGTGGGGGAAGGCGTTCTCCCTGTTGACCTCCTGGCTCTATGTAGGTGGGTTTTGTTGGGGGCATCGCCTGGCGTTGCTCGGGGTGGGGGGTGTGCCCTGCCAGGCATCGCTCTAGCCCTCAGAGCTCTGACAGCCTCGGCCGTCACCTGCTACAGCCCAGAGCAAGTCCTGCTCAGGGGTCTAAAAGCAAATGGGCTTATCGGGGGGTTCTCTTGGGTGCTCCTCCTGCACTCTGCAGACGGGTACATGCATGCAAGTGTGGAATGTGCCACTCTGGCCATAGGCTTTGGGGTGGAGGTGGGGATCTCATTGGGGCCTCGTGAGTACGTTGCCACTGTTTTTTTTTTTTTTTTTTTTTTTGCTTTTTGGGTCACACCCGGAGATGCTCAGGGGTTACTCCTGGCTTTGCACTCAGAAATTACTCCTAGCAATGCTTGGGGGACCCTATGGGATGCTGGGAGTCGCCCTACCCACTGTGCTATCACTCCAGTCCCTGCGCCAACACTTTGAGTGCCCCTGCACTGCCTGGCTTGGGAAGGGAGCGAATAGCTTCTTCTCGGGAGAAGGAAGGAGTTGGAGGCAGGCCAGAGCACAAGGCCAAGCTGTCCTACAGACCCCCGGTGACCGTCACCCCTCCTCAGCATCCCAGAGACCACGTCACAGTCAGCCTGGGCTGCCGAACCTCTGGACACACTCAGTTTCCACCGAGTCTTAGGTACATTCCAGCCAGTGAATTCATGCTAGAGTTCAGACTCTCCGGAGGAAATGACATTGAGAAAACCCAGCGCAGGATTACTTCTTTAGCGTCTTTCTGAGGGCCGGAGAGATACTACAGGGTTAAGGTGCTTGCCCGGCACGCGGCTCACCTGGGTCTGATCCCCGGCACCCTGTGCGGTCTCCCTGAGCTCCCCCAGGAGTGACCCCTGAGTGCTGAGCCAGAAGGAAGCCCTGAGCACTGCCAGGGGTGGCCCAAAAGCCAAAAACCAGGAAAAACAAAAAACCCAAAGCCTGTTTTTATGATGATTCCGCAGAGAACCGTTCCTCCACTGTGTTAAGTTTTATCTGCTGAATTCTGCCTGCAGTGGAATGACCTATCCCCGAGCCAGGACCTTCCCTCAAGGGAACAATCTCTGAGCTGCTCTGTCCCCCCACCAGAAGAGACACTACACAGGGTGACGAGTCCCACACTGTCCAGTCCCTGGACAGAGACCACAGGGCCAACGGGATCCCGGGGCCGGGGCCGGGGCCCAGAGCCGGGCAGGCGGGAAGGCGGGAAGGGTCGGTCCATACCTTGGGCCAACACGTCGTGTAGCCAGCCTCATCCTCGGAAAGAGCCTCCGTCAGACTCTGCTCGGTGTCCTGCTGGCGCCAGGTTTTGAAGGCTGCTCCCATAAGGCCATGAATAAAAAGGACATCTGCTTTAATGGGCTGACTGGGGGAGAGAGTTTTAAAAAAAGAAGCAGAATAAAGGCATTATTGCTCGGGTCCGAATGCACGCAGTGGGCTGGGGGCTGCTTGGCGGGCCTATCAGACACAAAGTCACACTGAGGGCGGCCCCTGGTGGCTGAGGCAGCTGCGAGGACACTCAGCGTGCTCCCCGCTCCCGTGTTCCCCGTCCTCCCCACTCCGTGCTCCCCTGTTCAGCCCCTCCCCCGGTCCTATGCTCCCCATTCCCATGCTCGCCCACTCCCGTGCTCCCCCATCTGGTGCTCCCCACTGCTGTGCTCCCACTCCTGCTCTCAGGGGCCCAAGCCTCATCCAACCCAGAGACTGGACTATACCAGGTGACAGTCATGGACAGGGGCCCCATAAGGATACACCACAGAGCAACACGTTTACAGGGTCCAGTACCAAAGCTCCAGGGTCGTTTCAAAATCAGTGTGTATGACTGACATTCACAAACGCATTGAGGAAACAGTGAATCAGAAATAGGTCAGATGGCATTGCGGCGGAGTGGGGGGCAACCAGTGTTTCTCAGGGGTCACTCCTGCAGGGCTCCGAGGACCGTAGGGGATGGCAGGGAATGAAGCGGGGTGAGCCGCGGGCAAGGAAAACACCATCTCTGTGCTAGCTCTTTAGCTCATGACATTTAAAAATAATATACTGACTGGAGTGATAGCACAGCGGTAGGGCGTTTGCCTTGTACACGGCCAACCCGACCGACCCGGGTTTGATTCCTCTGCCCCTCTCAGAGAGCCCGGTAAGCTACCGAGAGTATCACGCCTGCATGGCAAAGCCTGGCAAGCTCCCTGTGACGTATATCAATGTGCCAAACACAGTAACAACAAGTCTCACAATGGAGACGTTACTGGGTCTGCTCAAGCAAATCGATGAACAACGGGAGGACAGGACCGGACAGGACAGAACAGGACAGGACAGTGATACTGTTTACATGTGACATTCTATTTCTGGGTCATACCTGGAAGCACTCAGGGCTTACTCCCAGGTCTGCGCTCAGGGATTGGGGACCAGATGGGTGCCAGGGATCAAACCTAGGTCGGCTACGTGCATAGAGCTCCCCTCCCCTGCTGTACTATCGCTCCAGCCACAGGACGTGGCATTTTACAAAAGTAATTATAGTAAATTACCCACAAGGTATTTATAGCATAGGTATGATTTATACTGCTAACTAAAAAGTATATAATGTCACTTTACTTACAAACTGGAATTAGCAAGGGAACCCACTGTTGAAATTTTTGCTTACTTTCTCAAATTTTATTTTAAAGCACTTGACAGAATAAATTCAAGAAATACATAACGTTTGTTTCCATTTCCTTCCTAGGCGTATTGTGCCAGCATGGAAACAGTGAGCCACAGGGAAGAGCAGGAGCTGGCTGGGCTTTTCACAACTAAGGATCTGCCTCTGACAAGAGAGACCAAAGTGGGGCTGGAGCAACAGCACAGCAGGGAGAGCGTCTGCCTTGCATGCGGCCGACCCAGGTTTTTATTTATTTATTTATTTTTTGGGCTTTTTTGGGGGTCACACCCAGCAATGCACAGGAGTTACTCCTGGTTCATACACTCAGGAATCACTCCTGGCGGTGCTTGGGGGACCATATGGGATGCTGGAAATCGAACCTGGGTCGGCTGTGCGCAAGGCAAACGCCCTACCTGCTGTGCTACTGCTCCAGCCCCCTGACCCAGGTTTGATCCCCAACATTCCATATGGTCCCCTGAGTACTGCCAGGAGTAAACCCTGAGCATCGCTGGGTGTGACCCCAACAATTAAAAAAAAAAAGAGAGAAACGAAAGTACAAAAGGCTGTGGGAACTTTTAATCTAAATTAAAAGTCTGCCTGGCAATGGAAACCACCTTTTTCGTGAAGGTATAAAGCAACCTACTGAACAGCAGAAGGCATCTGCAGATCATAAATCCCAAAGGTTCTGGACATATAAAGAACTACCAGAATGTGACAACAAATCAGATTTGAAAACGTGCAGATCAAACACATTTTTTTCCTAAGGAAGCCACACAAATGGCCACCAGGCACATGGGGGGAAGAGTGTCATCACTCTTATCAGGGAACTGCAAATCCACAGGGCCATGTGGTATCACACCCCCCTGGGGGTGAAGGGAAGGAAGCCCCTCCCACGGGCCATCTGGAAGGTTCCTTCAGAGACTGAGGCCGGGGCTGGGGCAGCCGAGGCTTTGCGTGGTGGGGGAAGGGGCGCCCGGGTTCCACCCTGGGCCCGGCATGTCCCCAACCCCACGAGAATGGGAACTCGGTAGGACCCAGCAAGACCGCTTCTGGAAGTTTCATCCAGAGAATCTGAAAAAACGGATTGGAAATGAGAGTGGCACTGCCCCGTTCACTGGATTCACTGGAGGCCGGAGCTAGAGAGACCGCCTCTGCCCACTGACCATGGGCGGAGAAGGGGACGGCCTATGACCAGGCTGCTGTCCCGCGCGCTGAGGGGGCATCTGGGCTCTCCACCCCCGCCTGCAGCCTGGCAATGCCCCAAGCCGCCCTCACCTGGTCCGGAACTGGGGGTGCAGCACGTAGACCCCGTCCGGGTACTTCTCCTGCACGCTGTCCCGGTCGAGGTTAGCCAGGGCCCGGGCCGCGTGCGAGACGTCGATGATGTGGCGAGACTTCATGGCCTCGGCCATGAGGGAGACCCAGCCTGGAGGGAGGACACGCCGAGCACAGCCCAGGTCAGTGGGAGAGCAACCCGGGAGGGCGCCCCCAGCCCCTGCCCGGAGAAGCCCCCATCTGGCTCTGCTCTTCCTAAGACCCTCTGGGCCCTCGGCAGAGCACCACCAGGCCAGGCCCCCGGAGGGTCACAGAAAGGCACAGGGCAGCCCAGTTTCATTTATTCTTTGGGGTGTGTGGGCAGGGTGGGCGACACTGGCTGTGCTCAGGGGGTACCACAGCAGTGCTGGGGGTCCAACCCGGGTCAGCCACAGCCAGGCGGGCGCCCAAGCCCCCATCCTGCCTGTCTGGCCCCTATTTTCATTTTCATTGCTGAAAACAACGTGTCCCCTTATGCTCCTAAACCTGCAGACCTGCGTGCAGGTCCACGCACGGAAGCAGGGACCTAGGGAGAGACCCCAAACTGACCAAGGGTGCCCGGGGAGGGGAGGCGGGAGGGCACGGGAAAGGCGCGAGGAAAGCCAAGTCTTTGTGTGCGTGCTCCCCAGAGGACCCCCAGCAAGCCCATCCCTGCGGGGCTCCCGCAGGACCGCGCGCACGGGCGCGCGCGCGCATGGGTCCCGGGCGAGCGTGCGGGCCGGGGGAGCTGAGGGGGCGCGGCGGAGGGTCCCGGGCGCGCGTGCGGGCAGGGGGCTCACCGGCGCGGGCGATAGCGGCGTGCAGGTGCTCGCTCAGGGCCATGTTGCCCACGATGCGCAGGACGCTGCGGCGCACCTGCGGGCAGTCCTGGTGCAGCAGGTAGAGGCGCTGCAGCAGCTGCAGCCCGCCGCTCCCCGCCAGCCTGTCGCAGTGCGCCGCGATCTGCGGGGACAATCGCGGGGACACCCGGCTCAGCGCAGCGCGCCCCAGGATGCCCGGCCGCCCCCGCCCGGCTCCCCCCACGCCAGACCCCATCCCCCGCCTGCCCAGGCCGCCTTGGGACCACCCTCCCCCACCCCAGTACTGTCTCCCGCCCCGGGTTGCCCTGACCCAGGGGAAAGGATTTGGATTTTAAGTGGAATTTTTTTCTTTTCTTTTTGGGCCACACCCGGCGATGCTCAGGGGTGACTCCTGGCTCTGCACTCAGGAATGACTCCCGGGGGTCCTCGGGGGGACCATACGGGATGCTGGGGATCGAACCCGGGTCGGCCGCGTGCAAGGCAAATGCCCTCCTGGCTGTGCTATGGCTCCAGCCCCTAAGTGGAATTTTGTTTGTTTTTTGGGTCACACCTGGCAACGCACAGGGGTTACTCCTGGCTCTGCACTTAGGAATCAGCCCTGGCAGTGCTCAGGGGACCATATGGGATACTGGGGATCGAACCCGGGTCGGCCGCGTGCAAGGCAAACGCCCTCCTGCCTGTGCTATCTCTCCAGCCCCTAAGTGGAATTTTGAAGAGCGAGGGAAACGGAGCAGGAGTTGGTGAGGGCTCAGGAAGCAGCGACCACAGGCATGCCGGGGTAGCCCCGAGGAGGCCTGTCCTTCCGTCACCGGCTCAGCTTGCTGACATCACACCATGCCCCCCACCCTGAGGTGACAGTTTTACTTCTCTCATAAAAAAACAAAAAGATGAGATGAGGGGTGTTTGGGGGGAGCCACACCTAGTGGTGCTCAGGGCTGACTCCTGGCTCAGTGCTCGGGGGTCAGTGTTGCCGGCTCAGGGAACCCTGCAAGGTGCTGGGAAGAGTGCGCCCCCTGCAGGCCACGTGCCTTAACCCCCACACTAGTTCCCTGGCCCCCTGTTGCACGTTTCTTTCAGATCAAACTATGGGCGTGACAGGAAAGCCACCATGCCCGACGGTGACAGGGTGAGACTCAGTGCGCCCGGCGTGGAGCCAGCGCAACCCCCTGGACAGCTGCTGCCCCCGGGGTCACATGCACAGTCACTGACGGGTCGGGTCACCTGTGAGCAGCCATCGGGCTGCTTTCTCGCTGTGGCACTGAGAGGAGGGCCCATCCCAGGGATACTGACCCCGAACAACCACTGTGTCTGGTTGCTAAACCGTGACGGTGGATTTTGACACTTCATGAGGGGAAGGGGGGCGCGTGACGGGAACCACGCGGCCGTCTCTTCTCTCCCTGCTAGATGAGCACTGCTCATGGAGCACCACTGGCATCCCGCAAAGCTCCGCTACCTCGGAATGTTTGACGATGGCTTCCAAGCAGAACATCTCCATGGTCACCGAGGGCACTTCGAAGCTCTCCGCGTAGGGAAGTCCGTTTCCTCCAAAACACCACAGGCCACCCTGAAAGAGAACTCAAGTTTTCACTGAGCAAGTGGCACTGTCATTTGACGACGACCACCGAGCCCCATGCTGCGTAGTACCAGAAAGAACTCATGTGTGGGACCCCAGTCATCTGGACACTCCCAGGCGACACTTGGCTTATGCAATGGGAAAACGGTCTTTACCCTGTCTTTACCTTTTCCCTCCCTCCGTGCAGAGACCCAGCCGGGCTGCGAGCCTGCACTGCGTGTGCTTTACCTCTGAGAGAACTCCAGGAAGCAACAGATGAATCTTTTTTCTCTTTTTTCTTTTATTGGTTTTTGGAGTCCCAGCTGGTGATGCTCAGAGGTTACTACTCCTGGCTCTATGCTCAGGAATTACTCCTGGCGACGCTCAGGGGGACCGCAGGGGGCGCCAGGACGGAACCTGCGTTGGCCACACTCCAGGCAAGCTCCCCACCTGCTGGACCATCTCCAGCCCCACCAACATAAGATTCCTGATCAAGGAAAATAAATCCCAGGGCAGGTAATGTTCTAACCTCCTATCATTTCCCAGGTTATGCTAGTAACGTTGACTTAGATGTTACTAATCAAACTAATAGAAGCTTTAAAAAAATAACCGTGGGGCTGGAGCGATAGCACAGCAGGTAGGGTGTTTGCCTTGCATGCGGACGACCCGGGTTCGATTCCCAGCATCCCGTATGGTCCCCGGAGCACTAGCAGGAGTGATTCCTGAGTGAAGAGCCAGGAGTAACCCCTGTGCATCGCCGGGTGTGACCCAAAAAGCAAAAATAAATAAATAAATAAAAAATAAAAATAAAAAACATAACCGAGAACATCTGAAATGTAGACAGTGGGGAACAGTCTCAGAACTGTAACTCTTTCCGGGTTGAAGTTCAACTTCCCATGAAAGAATTACCATGTGGGAAGTCGGGGGTCAGGGGCAGCTCAATGGGGGGAGCACAGGCCTTTTGCACCCGGCAGTGCTCAGGGCTTACTCTTGGCTCTGTGCTCAGGGATCACTCCCTACGTGGTGCCAGGGATGGAGCCCAAGGGGGCCCCATGCAGGGCGAGCGCCATCCCCGCTGTGCTATTGCTCCGGCCCCTCTGTGAGTTTCTTTACTCCCCCCCCCACCCCGCGCCTCTAGAGGGTACAGTACCAACCGTGCAGTGTGTGTGTGTGTGTGTGTGTGTGTGTGTGTGTAGAGGGCACAGTACCAACCGTGCAGTGTGTGTGTGTGTGTGTGTGTGTGTGTGTAGAGGGCACAGTACCAACCGTGCGGTGTGTGCGTGTGTGTGTAGAGGGCACAGTACTAACTGTGCAGTGTGTGTGTGCGTGTGTGTGTGTGTGTGTGTGTGTGTGTGTAGAGGGCACAGTACCAACCATGCAGTGTGTGTGTGTGTGTGTGTGTGTGTGTGTGTGTGTGTGTAGAGGGCACAGTACCAACCGTGCAGTGTGTGTGTGTGTGTGTGTGTGTGTAGAGGGCACAGTACCAACCGTGCAGTGTGTGTGTGTGTGTGTGTGTGTGTGTGTGTGTGTGTGTAGAGGGCACAGTACCAACCGTGCGGTGTGTGCGTGTGTGTGTAGAGGGCACAGTACTAACTGTGCAGTGTGTGTGTGCGTGTGTGTGTGTGTGTGTGTGTGTAGAGGGCACAGTACCAACCATGCAGTGTGTGTGTGTGTGTGTGTGTGTGTGTGTGTGTGTGTAGAGGGCACAGTACTAACTGTGCAGTGTGTGTGTGCGTGTGTGTGTGTGTAGAGGGCAAAGTACCAACCGTGCAGTGTGTGTATGTGTGTGTGTAGAAGGCGCATTACCAACTGTGCAGTGTGTGTGTGTGTGTGTGTGTGTAGAGGGCACAGTACTAACCGTGCAGTGTGTGTGTGTGTGGAGGGCACATTACCAACCCTACAGAGAGAGGATGTGTATGTGTGTGTGTGTGTGTGTGTGTGTGTGTGTGTGTGTGGCCCCACCCCGTGCGGGCCGGGTGGAGGCCTGAACTCACCTTCTGAGCCGCGAGGCTCTGGCTGCTCTCGCTCAGGGCCAGAGACGTAAAATTCTGGATACACTCGTCGAGCTCCGTCTGGGGTAAGGAGGACAGCAGCTGCCTGAGCTCCTCCTCGATGCAGGAGTCCTGAGATGCAAGGACAGAGACCCTCTGAGCACCGGGAGAGAGCCCCCGCACAGGTGCAAGCCTGTGTCTGTCCGGTCGCTGCCCAGGTGCACCGCCAACCCCTGCGGCTCGAACTCGGGTCCCAGCTCAGGGGCGGGCCAGCACCTCGTGACCCACTCGCTCGCTCGGAAGTCAAGCTTTGGAGCCTGAGTTCCTCGGGAGCTCCCAGTTCTAGCCTCCTTTATTCAGATTTCAAAACACTGGTAGCAGCTGGCTCGGGCGCCCCCTTGGCGGTCTAGGACCTGCTCGTCTGCGGAGTGGTCAGGAACTGCCACCTGCTGCTTGAGGGCAGGAACGTTCCCAGGGGCCCTCCTGGCTGCACTGGTCCAGGCAACACTCGGTATCATCTGGAGATGCTCGCGGTGGTTCTGATGCTGCTTGCACGGAGTAGAGCCAGCATATGGTCGAGCACCCCACCGGGCGCAGTCCCCACAACAAAATATTACTTCATCCCAAATGTCCACAGTGTTAAAATTCATCAAAACTGAGGGCTACCACCTCTGAGAGAGAATCGATGCAGAGGTAAGCTGTGAGGTCACTCTGATCCGTGCAGGGGTCACTGTGGAGTCTCTATGATCTGTGCAGTGAACTGTGGGTGGGGTCACTCTGATCCATGCAGGGTCACCATGGGGTCTCTCGGATCTGGGCAGGGGTCACTGTGCGGTCACTGCGACCCGTACGGGGGAAATGTGAAGTCAGTTTGGTGTCCAGGCACCCCACGCTGAAGGAGGGGAAATTCCAGACCATCAGCGTGTCCAAGAACACTCACATCCTTGGGTGACAACCGCAGTGCCTATCTGGGTCACGTCTACAACTACTGTTTGAATGTTCATCTTGCACCCAAGGTGTAGCTATACTATTTTTCACTGTATCTTTTACTTACTTCGTTTTGTTTTGTTTCTGAGCCACAGCCAGCAGTGCTCAGAGCTTCTCGCCTGGCAGACTGGGGGCACCGGCTGGGCTTGGCTGGTGCTCGAACCCGGCTCGGCTGCCTGCAAGGTCAGCATGCCACCCGCTGTACTGCCACTCCGGCCCTACTTACCTCTTTCATGGCAGGCAAACGAGGCGGTGGTAGAAAGAAGCGAAGGTCACTGTCTTTGCTCCGTGCCAAACCGACGAGGGTCCTCAGATCTGCGGCCTGGGCAATGGTCCTGTACTGGTAATCTGTCAGGAGATGTGCTCTTAGCGCCCAGACCGCATCGGCGGTAAGAAACGGTTACGAGAGCTGTTTTGAGGATCAAACAAACTGCTCGAAAGCACAAATGTTCAGGCTCCCAGGCTGTCATTGACGTTCCGAGTATTTCTCCTGCCGACAACTAACTGCACGTGTAGATCCAGCAGGCAACCCCCGGCGTTCCCACACCCAGCCCCTCAACTCTTGGGATCAGTCTGCATATCAGTCCTTCGGGGGGGGAGGAATGAACCTCAAATGTGAGAACTAGTAGTTTAGAAGCAAATTAACTTATTTTTGAATTTAATATAGTGTCTCTCTTTACTTGGGGGATAGCCCAGGGCCTGGCCGAGCAGCGCAAGGGCACCCCACCGAGCTGCGGCCGGGGGTCTCGTAACTGCCTTTGGAGAAATCTCATGGGGCCGGGGAAGAGCTTACAGGGCTGGGGTGGGAGCAGTCCCCGTATCCCATATGGTCCCCCGAGCACTGCCAGGAGTGATTCCTGAGTGCAGAGCCAGGAGTCAGCCCTGAACAATGCCGGGTATGACCCAAAAGGAAAAAAAAAAGGAAAAGAAAAAGAAAAAGAAGAGTTCAAAGGGCTGCCATGCAGCGGCCTGGAGCCTGCTCACTGCCAGGGGTTGCTCTGATGTCCCCAACATAAACGGACCAGAGCCACCCCACACTGCAGACCATAAGTCCCCCCTGAGGGAGTGGCCCCTGGGCCCCGAGCACTGCTGAGGAGGACCCCTGAAACAAAGGAAATTAAAATGGTTTCTGGCATGTCAAGGCTGTTTTGAGGGGGTGTTGTTTAGGACTACGACCCCCGGTGCTCTGACAGCCCACTAAGCCCATGGTCAGATACTACTTCCACCTTCAGGTTGAAGAAACACTGTATTCACCTGTTGCGTCCCCCATGCCCAGTGGAACCTCTCTGTCCTGCCTATGACCACAGGATTGTCCCCCATGCCCAGGGGAACCTCTCTGTCTTGCCTATGGCCACAGGTAGGTCCCTTCAAGTGTGGGTGCTGAGACCTAGTCCCAATGCTGCTGTGTTAGATGGGTGAAACTGTCTGCCACGGAGGCAGGAGGAGGGTTGGAAAGGGTGGGGGGGGTCTACTGGGGACATTGGTGGTGGAGAATGTGCACTGGTGGAAGGATGGGTGTTGGATCATTGCATGATTGAAACTCAAACATGGAGGCTTGTAACTGTATCTCACGGTGATTCAATTTAAAAGAAAAAAGAAAAAGAAATGTTTTCGGGGACCAGAGAGATAGTACAGCGGTAGGGCAACTGCCTGGCTTGCAGCCAAGCTGGGTTCCGTCCCCACACCGTATATGATACCCTGAACCCTGTGGGAGTGATTTTTGTGTGCAGAGCCGGAAGCAAGCCCTGAGCATCACTGGGTGTGGCCACTTCACAATACATATTTTTAGCTTACCACAAACAACTGAAACTATGGGAAGGGAAAGCTCAGACAAAGAGGAATTACCACCCGGCATTATTGCCTGATACTTTTAAAAACTGATCGTCAAAAAAGGAATCAACTACTTTTAAAAACTGGGAACTTGGGGGCCATACTGAGCAGCGCTCAGGGGGCTAGTCTGGCTCTGTGCTGGGGTTGGGGGTCACTGCCGGCGGCGCTCAGGGGCCAGGCAGTGCTGGGGTGAGAGTTGGGCGTCTGCGGGGGAGACATATGCTCTGTCTCCCTGGCCCCAAATGTCAATGTTTGGAAGTGAATGTTTTAGAAATGATCTTGGCAAAAATATACTTGCCGAAATTTGAGCAGCAGAGGGAAGAAACAGATCATTTCAAATCCAAACTTTAAAAAAAAAAAATAGTGGAACAGTATCAGTGACTACGAGAGGGCTGTGTGGGGTGCTCTTTCTGCATCTTAGTTTCGGTGGAGGTGGGCGTGCTGGGGCCGCAGGAGGGAGGTGCGGGAGGGGGCCGGCGCGGATGGGCAGAGCCTGCACTCAGCCCGTCCCAAGGGCTGGGAAACGGCTCCCACGGCACTCCCACAGCACAGAGACTGCGAGGCTGGCTTCCTACCTGCTGTCTCACTTCGGATTTTTGCGTTTTTGTTTGTTTGTTTGCTTTTTGGGTCACACCCAGCAATGCACAGGGGTTCCTTCCTGGCTCTGCAGGTGCTCAGGGGACCCTATGGGATGCTGGGAATCGAACCTGGGTTGGCCGCATGCAAGGCAAATGCCCTCCCCACTGCCCACTGTGCTATCACTCTGGCCCCTCACTCAGGATTTTTGGGTTTTTTTTTTTTTTGCTTTTTGGGTCACACCCAGTGATGCATAGGGGTTACTCCTGGCTCTTCACTCAGGAATTACTCCTGGCGGTGCTCAGGGAACCCTATGGGATGCTGGGAATCGAACCCCGGTCAGCGACGTGCAAGGCAAATGCCCTTCCTGCTGTGCTATCACTCCAGCTCCTCACTCAGGATTTTTGAAGATGTGTTATGGGCACGTGTGCACCAAGACTGCCTGGATCAGGCGGGGACACGGCCACTGGCTCAGGATCGTGCCTGCGTGGCTGAGGCCACACCCGCAGGCCCCATCCAGCTGTGCGTCTCTCTGGTCCCACAGCAGTGCCCAGGAGGCCTGAATCACGTTCCCTCCCCTCCTGCCCACGCTGTCCACCCCGGTCCCGGTCCCCGGGCCATGCGTACCCTGCCAATGGTGGGCCTCGGCCATCTCCTGCACAGCCTGCAGCCGGGCCTCCCGGGCCTGCGACCGGCTCTTCCGCAGCAGCAGCCACACGGGGCACTCGTGGTCCTCCACGTCCACGGTGCTGAACGTGTCTGCGGAAAGGGACAGGGTCACTCCCAATGGGCCTGGGGACCACACAGGATGCCGGGGACTGAACCTGGGTCAGCCACAAGCAAGGCAAGCACCCTCCTTGCCGCACTACCCCTCTGGCCCTCAAGTTGACTTTTTTCCTTTTTAATTTTTTTTATTTTTGGCTTTTTGGGTCACACCTGGCGATGCACAGGGGTTGCTCCTGGCTCTGCACTCAGGAATTACTCCTGGAGGTGCTTGGGGGACCATATGGGATTCTGGAATCGAACCCAGGTTGGCTGCGTGCAAGGCAAATGCCCTACCCGCTGTGCTATCACTCTGGCCCACAAGCTGACATTTTTTGATGCCATCTTTGTATTACCAAAAAGCAAGGGGGTGGTTTCAAGTAAACTGAAGTCTCATGGGGCTCTCTTCCCCGTCCATCAGCTGCCGCTCAGATGCAAGTAAATGTTTATTTCTGAGATATTTATCAGCTTCAGTGTCTATTTACATCTCAATACCATACATCCAACGGAGCTGAGGGAGGAACACCGGCCAGCAGCATGAGAGAAGAATACCCTTTCATTTCCAGGCTACAACCATGCTACTCTAAGAAAGAGATAAAGGACCGGAGAGCTCACCCAACAGCCTAAGCATGTGTTTGCTCTCAAGAAGGCCAGGTTTGACTTCCGGCAACACACAGTCCCCAAGCATGACCATGAGTGACCCTTGAGCCCCCACACCCGCTCAGGCCCTGAGCACCACTGGGCGTGGTCCCACCTCTTCTCCCCAAGAGCAAGAACAAATTGGGAAAATGTCAGATGATGACCAGAAGGCCCCCAGGTCCTATCACGCCCAACTGAAGTTTTGACACGCACCAGAAAACGGGCTCTGGAACAGTTTGGCTGACGTTGCTAAAATTGTTCTGACTGCTTTGTGAATCTCCTTTCTCGCCAGGTAAGTGATTCCTAAAAAGATCACAAGTGCAAAAAATACTAATAATAATAACAATAATAATGAGCCCTTCAGAAATCTGTGTACAAACTATAGTTCTTATCAAGAATGTAGAATAACACCTATGCAGAATTATATTTATATTCCAGCGTGTGATATAAGTAGCATTTTGGGAGCTGGGGAGACAGCCCAGTGGCCGGGGGAGATGCTTCCTGTGCACTGGGAACTGGGTTTGAACCCTGGCATCACCGGGTCCCTTGGAGACAGTGGATGGGGCCCTGGAGGCCTGGCCTGGGAGCAGCCATCCCTTGGTGCTGCTCAGTTCGGTGGCCACACGTCACCCTGAGTGGCCACGGGCCCCATGAGCACTGCCCGGGAGGCCCCACACAATGAAACAGAATATCATCTCTATCACTGCCAATACAACTAGAATCCTTATGGGCTTAAGAAACAATAACCGCTTTCAGAGAGGAGTGAAAAGGGAGAATAATGAAATAATTAAAGCATTGTGGGAACCAAGGGTTCAAGATCTCAAAATGAGACTTCCCTCCAAGTCAGGGGGAAAGTGAAAAACAGAAGTATGGGGTGAGTGTCATTCGGGTGGGGGAAAGTGATGAAGAAGAGTCCCTCTCCATAACGCGGCCGGACCCCGAGCTCAGTTGGGAGCACCGGTGCTGACTCAGCGGCCACAGGGGGACTCCCGGGGCAGCCAAGGGTGGGCGGGCGCTGCTGAAACTGTCTGCGGGCTCTCTCCTCCTCCCCGTCCATCAGCTGCCGCTCATATGCATGGGGCCATCGCAGGAGTTCCGCGGGTGGCAGCAGAGTTATCTCTGAGCCCTGTGACAAGATCTTGCTTTTGGTCCTGCCTGGTGGAGGGAGGGCCGGCCTCCGGGCTGCTGGTCCGCTGACAAGGGCAATTCGAGTTCAGACATGCCCGCAGCCAGCGGGGACCCCACCTTCAATCCCTGGCACCCCCAGGTCCTCTGAGCACTGCTGGGTATGGCCCCAATGACATCCAGCACTGCTGGGCACAAGCACGGCCCCGTCCAGCCCGAGGGTCCGGCTGACGGGGTGACAAGGGCTCCTGCGCCCTGCCCAGGGGTGGGGGGCTGGTGACTCAGTCTGTCTCGATGACACTGGGCTGGTGTGTGGCCACACCCAACAGTGCTCAGGGGCCACTCCTGGCAGTGCTCGGGGAGCCACGTGAGGTGGGGTCGGCATCCCCCCAACCCGCCAGCTCTCTGGCGCTAAGTGCCCATTCTGGAATCCACACAACCAGCTTCCACTTGTCACAAGACTGGTTCTGCCAGCAACTCACCATAATCGCCTTTTTCATCTAGAGAGCCTGTGTCCATGTAGATGTAGGACTTCATCTTTTCTTTCTCTACCACTTCAGTGTGTAATGTCAAAGACTTCTTCAGGGCCAGAACTTCATATGTAAAAAATACAGAACCTCTTTAAAAGAAACAAACAAAAAAAATTCATCGTGAACAAATGATATAACAGCAACACAAGAGCCCCTCTCTTTTTCAGCTTTTTTTAGTAATTTTTTTGGGAAATATATATATACGTATATATACACACAGCAATATATATGTTATATTTACAACAATATCTCATATCTGACGTTTAGTTGGTAGTAAACCTCCTTGTGTTAATATGATAAATTACATAGCTATTATATATACATATATAGCTGTGTACCTTAGAATACCTGTTTATGTCCGTGACCTGAGCCAATGGTCCCATCATGGTACTCAGGTCACAGAGAGACCACCGAGAGCACCAAAAGCCCAGGACATGCGGGTCCCCCGCACCCCACCAGGCCCCCTGCACGCCACCCCCCCCCATGCCTACAGTTGTTCTGAATTGATTGTGATAGTGTCTCCACTTTTCTCTTCAGTTCAGCCCCTTCCGAGCTCCAGAGCTAGGATCCGTGAGCCCCATCTCCAGACCCCCAACTTCCACCCGCCGTTTGTGGCTCATGCATTAGTGTTCCCAATGGTAAGAGCCATTCATCGTTGACCATTATTCACACTCAGCTTCTTCATCCATCTGCCAGTGAGGGGCAGCTGCGGAATTCTCCACTTTGGCTCTAGTACAAACAACAACTCCCGGCTGGCTGCAGTTGCATGGGACATCTAGCTCACCCTTGAGGAGACAGCTGCAGAGACAGCTAACCCTCCGCACACATACTGGTATGTCCAGCTTTCCTAACAACTGTTCTTTTTTTTTTTTAATTTTATTTTAAAGAGTCACTGTGAGACACAGTTACATACTCAGAAACTTTCGTGATTACGTTTCAGTCATTTAATGTTCAAGTACCCATCCCTCCACCAGTGCCCATTCTCCACCACAATGTTCCCAGTGTCCTTCCTGCCACCCCCACCCCCTGCCTCCGTGGCAAGCACATTCCCTTTTACTCTCTCTCTCTCTCTCCTTTTGGGTGTTTCTAGTAACTGTTCTTCTGAAAGAATTAGCCACGTTACCAGCACCTTTGAGGTTCTCAAGCTTTACCAAAAGCCAAAATTTAAATGTGAAATGCTGTTTATGGAGACATGAATGAAGGATGTTTTTCTCATTCAGCTTGACCGACACGATCCCGAGGTCCACCACAGAACTGGTGCTCAGCCACTTTGGTTACACTACCCTGCCCGACCCCGAGACAGGAGGGAAACCAGATGGACAGATATCCCGTCTGCAGCCCCGGGACAGAGAGAAACTCACTCACTCACATGGGCCCTCTCCCTTGGGCATTTATTTATCGGAACAGCCAAAAGAGCAAATGTTTTTCGCTCGGTATTTTTACCGTTTTTCATGAACAGTATTTCTTTCCTAGAAATAGGATGGTTTCCGCTGTGTTCCTAAACAGAATGCCATTGACAAATCGGCCAGAGAATACATTATCTTTTGCCCAGAATGAATTAAAGGGTGAAATTATCTTGCCCTCTTGACACATTTCCCAGAATATGCCAAATGATTTAACTCACATTACAATGCCCTGGAGAAATGTGAGTCTGGAACAAAATACCGAATATCTCCCTTTGTCATTTCAGCAGGACTGAAACCAGCATTGCTCCTCCGACAGCAACAGTGACTAGCGGGGCTGCGGCAGGCAGACACTGAAACACTCTACGGCTGCAGGAGAGGTGAGGGCGGGGTTTGCTGCCCTTGGCTGGAACTGCAGGGAGACTGCTCCATGAAACCAGTCAGAGGGAGGAGGACAGGTGCTGGTGGTTGCACCCAGCCGGGGGATACAGAGCCACAAAACAAGGGAACAGCTGGGGGGCGGAGGGCCAGAACTGCAGGGAGGGAGTTTGCCTCACATGCGCCCACCCCAGGCTTGATCCCTGGCACCTCTATAATACCCGGAGCTCACCAGGAGTGATCCCTTAGTGCAGAGGCAGGAATAAGCACTGAGCACTGGTGGTGGTGGCCCAAACACACACACACACACTCAACACACACACACACACACACACACACACACACACACACAATAACTACGAAGGGAACAGACAGTACTGAATGATGGGAGGGCCTTGGCTTTGGATTTAAAAGCCGAGACCACCAAACAGTGGGGGTCTAGAGTGACGCAGGGCCGTGGTGAAGGTGCAGTGAAACCACAGACGCTAACTCTACCATGACCGAATTACCTAACTATAAGAAATAAAGTGTTGATTTTAAAAAAATCGAATAAAGGCTAAAATATGGCCTGGGCTTACCAGAAGTAACGCTTAAAAAGAGAGAGAGAGAGAAGAGAGAGAGAGAGAGAGAGAGAGAGAGAGAGAGAGAGAGAGATGGTATAGGGCAGATGACCCTGATTCCACCAACAATATCCTGAGCACAGGGCCAGGAGTAATCCCTGAGTACTGCAGGGTACGGACCAAAAAAAAAAAAACAGGCAAACAGAGGAAGGCAAAAAGAGAGAGTGGACGGGAGAGGAAAAAGAATTATTAACAAGTATAACAGAGAATCACCCTTTTCAAAAACAGGAAAGAAGGGGGCTGGAGAGATAGCACTAAAGCTAATTTTTTTGTTTTCATTTTTGACCTACACCGGGCTGGAGCAATAGCACAGCGGTAGGGCGTTTGCCTTGCACGCAGCCAACATGGCCGACCCGAGTTCGATTCCTCCGCCCCTCTCGGAGAGCCCGGCAAGCTACCGAGAGTATCTCGCCCACACGGCAGAGCCTGGCAAGCTCCCCATGACGTATTCGATATGCCAGACACAGTAACAACAAAGTCTCCAATGGAGACGTTACTGGGCCTGCTCAAGCAAATCGATGATCAACGGGAGGGCCTTTACCTTTTACCTTTTGATCTACACCAGCAGTGCTCAGGGTTTACTCCTGGCTTTGGACTGAGGAGTAACCCCTGCCAGGACCAGGGATCGAAGCCGGGTCAGCTGTGAGCAAGGCAAGTGCCCTCCCCACTGTCCTGTCACTCTGGCCCGACTGAGCTGATTTTCCCTTCTCCTGCCTTAGAAGCTCAGGCAGGAGGTGCTTCTGCAGGTGACGAGTGCGGTGCCCCGGGACGGGCCCAAGGGGACATGCTCCCAGAAGGTCCCGTCCGCTGCAGACCCCGCGAGGCAGAACCGTGCCTCGGAACCCTCAGCCCGGATCTCAGCCCAGCTCACGCCCTTGCTGCCTTCTTGCAGGAAGTAGCTGACGCCGATTACTATTTGCAGCACTTACCCTAAGATCAGAGATCCAGTAAGCTTTACGATGTTTCCTTCAAAAAGAGGAAAGTCCATTAATATAATCAACTTTGTTTTCAAAACGTGACAGAATGAGGCAAGTGACTCGCCTAACGGGATGCAAAGCTGTCCGTCTCTTGAAATGCGGCAGCTGTCTTGCCGGACGGGTAGGATAGTGGCAGGGAACTTGCCTTGCATGCAGTTAACCTGGCTCATTCCCGGGCATCGCCAAGGGCCCCGCCAGAGTCCTGCTGGGAGTGGTCTCTGAGCACAGAACCGGGAGTAAGCCTGAGCACTGTCCAGTGCGTGCACTGTCTTCTCCATCCCTGCTTCTCTTACTACTTAAATTACAGAGCCATTGGACGTCCTGGATGAAAAGAACTCCCACTGGACCCCCCAAGCTGACCCAGCTTAAAAAGCAAAAGGAAGTGGCACGAGGCCGGGGCTTGCCTCCTTCCATGGTGTCCCGGCGCCTGGATCAGAGCCTGGCACATTCCCACCTGGTCAGCCAATGTTTGCCAAAGGAACGGAAGGTAAGCCAGACGGATCTTGTCTGGATCCCACAGGGGAAGAAGACCAGAAACAGAGCAGGGAAACGAAGGCAGATAAGTGGGGGCGTTAGTGCCGGATGTCATGAATCGTCCAGTCACCGCCCCACCGCATTCATCAGTGAAGTCCGTGAGCCAGGCACGGGCACAGCCGGAGTGTAAGAAAAAGCTGCCGACTGAGAGCAAGGCGACTCTTGGGTTCAGAGGCTGAGGCTGAATCAGCTCGGGACCGTACTGGGGACGGATTGACCGACTGACCGTCTGACCGACAGGGAAAGGTGTGGTCAGAGACGTGCGCTCAAGGGTTGGACAGCTCTGGGGGGGCATCCTGGACCCTCGCCCCAGCCCCGTGCTCGCCCCGGGGTACTCACTGCCGTCTCTCCAGTACGTTCGGCTCTTGGCTGGAGGAGCTGAGGTTCTTATTCTCCGGCAACAGATGATACAATAAGCAGCCAGGGACATTCTGTGTATTTGGAACAATCGTAACGAATTTAAGTTGGAATCTGACTTTAGAAAAACATTTCCTTTCACTCTAAGAACACGTGCTGATCATGGATGAGGACCTTCAGAGTCAGATATCGCAACCAGAAAAAAAAAAAAAAACCTTCTCCTCTGAAAACTCGAACCAGGGGCCAGAGAGGTAGCAAAGTGGATAGGGTGTTTGCCTTGCATCTCGCACGCAGCCAACCCGGGTTCGATCCCCAGCATCCCATATGGTCCCCTGAGCCCCTCCAAGAAGGATTCCTGAGTGCAGGTTCAAGAGTAACTCCTGAGTTTCAGTGGGTGTGGCCCCAAAACCAAAAGAAAAAAAGAAAACTCGAAGCAGTGCTGGAGAAATAGCAGAGGGCAAAGGCATCGGCCTTGCGTGTGACCGACTCCGTTCAATACCGGCACCACATGTGGTCCCCTGCGTATCGCCTGCGGTCATCCCTGAGCACAACTGGGTTTGGCCCCTACACAAAAAAAAAACCAAGCAAACAAACAAACAAAAAAAAACTAAGAGCAAAACTTAGAAAAATCTTTTGCTGGTGCTTTAGTTGTGCTTCAGCAATTAGCTAACACTGTACTTGGTCTTCACAAGTAAGAACCAGGAAAATGCAGGTGATCCGACAGAAGATTGGTCTAGGAACTTCTGCCTTTGTACGTGTACGTGCAGAGAGTAGGAATGCATATTTATCTTTGGTGGCAGGAGGCCTGCAGACGCGGGCGGTGCCGCGGCCAAGGGCCTGTGCGCCGGGGAGCAGACGTGTCCTCCCCAGCTCCGTCAGCGCGGCGCCCAGCATGTTTCATGAGGCCCCGGGTCCGCTCACGCCGCCTCCTCTCAGAGTGGAAAGCAGTGGCTCAATGGAACAAGGGGGAGGTGAAGATTCTAGAACAAGCACACATTCCGGCGCCCTGCCAGCGTCTCTGGTGAGACGGTTCCTTCTGTGACATAGAGGAAAAGCATGGTGTCCTGCAGGAACTCGGGAGAAATGATTCAGCAAATGGAAAAGGCTTGCAGCACCCTGAAAGGAGTAAACACGAGGGGCTGGAGAAATAGTTCAGCGGGGGGTGGGGGGGGGAAGGACATGCTTGCCTTGACTGTGGCCAACGTGTGTTCAACTCCTGGCATCTCTTTTATGGTCCCCTCTGAGCCTGCCAAGAATGATCCCTGAGCACTAAGTCAGGAGTAACTCTGGAGCAATGAGTGTGCTCCCCCCCTCCCCAATAAATGAGGTATATACTCAAAACGTGTTCACGATAACCCTCAAATACTAGGTTTCTGAGTATTTCTTCTAGTTCTTCTCCTGTCTCTAGGGCTGGAGCGATAGCATAGCAGCAGGGCGTTTGCCTTGCACGCGACCGGCCCTGCTGAGCTGGGTTCGATTCCTCCGCCCCTCTTGAAGAGCCCGGCAAGCTACCCAGAGTATCTCGCCCGCACCACAAAGCCTGGCAAGCTCCCCATGGCGTATTCAATATGCCAAACACAGTAACAACAAATCTCGCAATGGAGACGTTACTGGGCCCGCTCGAGCAAATCACTGAACAACAGGAGGACAGTGCTACAGTGCTACAATTCTTCTCCCATACATCAGTGGATGAAGGAGCATTCATTCCGGCCACAGGTGAGCAATGAAGGCCACTGTTCTCCAGGGTTATTGTTTCTGATTTTCTTGCTTATTCAATGAATCACTGATACTTTTAAAATGATAAAAGACTGATGGGGCTGGAGCCATAATTCAGCATGGAGGGAGTTTGCTTTGCATGTGACTGACCCAGGTTTGATCCTGGCATCCCAGATGGACCTGCCAGGAGTAATTCCTGACTGCAGAGCCAGGAATACTCCCTGGGCATTGCTGGGTGTGGCCTAAAAACAAACAGAAATCAAAGACTGATGAAGCAGGTTCTCACCAAACAGGGTGGCACACACAGGGAACTACAAGCCCTGTCTGGGGAGCGACTCGCCTTTGTTCCTCTGCCTCCTCCACTCCCGGGACCCAGGCGGCTGTGAGTGTACCTTGCCGACAGCCTTCAGTGGGAAGGGGCCACCCCGCACAGCACGGCAGACTGGCGCTCCTCCGGCTCTCCAAGGACTCAGCCGTCCCGACCGGTTCTGCAGAATCCTCTGCTCCTGTTGCGACTCTCGGCTCTCCTGATTCCGCTCACCTTCTCGCCAACGCAAAAACCTCCGGCACAAGCTTCCCCGGAGAGGAACCCACCTTGGTCAGGGGATTTAAGGGCTGCCTGATTTCCGGGTGTGACCCCAAAAATCAAAGAGAGGCCAGAGCAATCATACAGCAGGCAGGGGGCTTGCCTTGCATGCGGTTGACCCAAGCACAGTCCCGAACACCCCGCAAGGTCCCCTGTGCCCCACCAGGAGTGATCCCTGAGCACTGCCAGGTATGGCCCAAACATCAAACACACACGCACACACACACACACACACACACACACAGAGTTGTATTTATAAATTATTCACTCAATTACTACCTAGTTCTACTTGGAGCAAAGGTGGCCTAAGAACAGGAGACAGGGCAGAGGACAAGAAAGCCAGGGCTGTCACCTCCCCCTGCCCAGGGACACTACAGCTTGTTTGATGGGAGAGGAGGTCCCAGGGTGCACGGTAATGATTAACAGGACCTGAGCACCTGCTCCCTTTATGATCACACTTTATCCCTTTAACATTTATTGCGTTAGGTTCCACTTCATGGATCAATAAAATTCCTCACCAGTTTTCTTTCAACAAGTTTTTAACTTTTGTCTTTCCCCGTCATGCACAGAACCCTTTGCTAGCATGTGTATTTAATTTTAAAATCTTTTAGTTGATGGGTTTAATGCGTATTTGTTGGATATTGTTTTATTTCCTTTAAGTTACGGTGTACTACTTCTATTCGTTTACAAAATAACTATACATATGTATAGTATAGTTATTACATATGTATAGTTATTTTGGGTAGGGGGTCTTTGGGCCGCACCCAACCGTGCTGAGGGCTTACTTCTGGTTCTGTACTCATGCCATCACTCCTGGCAGGACTCGAAAGACCATATGGGACACCGGAGATCAAATGCAAGGCAAGCACCCCACCCACTACACAACTTCTCTAGCTCCCAAACAACTACATTTTAAACATTCTACATAAAGTACAAACTTACACACAACTGGAGATGACAGCGTTAAAATATTTAAAATCCAATGACCTATCTAGAATTTTTATTTTATTTTTATTTACCTTTCTGGGCCACTTCTGGGCCACACCTAGCAGTACTCAAGCTTGCTCCTGGTTCTGTGCTCAGGGATCATTCCTGGCAGTGCTTGGAGGATCATATGGGGTCTTGACCCAGGTCGGCTGAATGCAATGCTAGTGCCCTACCCTCTGTACTGTTGCTCAAGATCTTTTTTTTTTTTTTGGATACCACTGGCATTTCTCAGATTAATTTCTGGCTCTGTGCTCAGCGATCACTCCTGGCAGGCTAGGGTAACCACAGGGGAAGCTGGGGATCGAACCTGGGTCTGCCACATGCAAAGCAAACACGCTACTCATTGTACTACTGCTCAGACTCCTCATCTAGCATTTTAATTGTACTTTAAGAGTCTAAAATAAGTCATTTTTAATTTATTTCAATTTTTTGTGTTTTTTTTGCCAGACCTGGTGGTAGGGTTTACTCCTGACTCTATGCTCAGGGGTCACTCCTGACAGTCTTCGGGGGGAACATATACAATATGAAAGATTTGAACTGAGGCCCTTTCCTGTGCACGGCAAGTGCCTGTTCCCTGTACTATCCCTCTGGCCCTACGAAGTCATTTTTAAAATTATTCCGCTGAAACAGTCAATACAGTTTTTTCCATTCCTTTCTTACCAGTTCCTCTCCAAACATCTACCAGTTCCTCTGGGTTTCCTATCAGCCTGGAAAGACCCTTTCGTAGCTGTTTCTGTACTTGCTGACTCTCCCAACCTCCATTTGTTTGAAATAAGACTTTGAAAACAAATTAACTTGCCTGAGAAATTCTGGGCTTAGAATTCTCTATTTCCTTCAGCACCTCAATAGGTAGGATGCAGGGGAAGAAATCCATTGGTAAGTCCAGTGTTTTGTTTCTTTGGAGGCAAAATCACGGCCTTGTAAGAGGCTGCCCCTGTGCTCTTGAGACCCAAACCCACCACCTGCGCTGACTCGAAGTCTTTTTTTTGGTGACGTTCTGACCTCTTGGAGTCTTGAAGAGGGCAGAGAATGGGAAGGGGCAAGGGCCCATCCCAGGGTGAGCTACTGCCCAGAGTGTGAGTGTGTTCCCATGGAAACCGCCTGGTGCTGAGTTCATACTACCAGATGGCTCCTTTACCCGGAAGCTACATGCCCCTGCCCTTCACCTTGATAACTGGGACCACCTCTGTGCCCAGAGTCTGCCCAGTCACTCAAACTCTCTGATTTAAAAACTGGCTCAACGGGTGTGCACAGTGCCCATTCCTTCCCATGAGACACAAAGGCTCCAGAGGGTTTCCCCGCCTCCTTCCATTCCCGACCAATCCTGGCACTCCCCGCCAACCCACACAGTGCAGCCCGCCCCGCCCCCTTCCATTCCCGACCAATCCTGGCACTCCCCGCCAACCCACACTGTGCAGCCCGCCCCTCCTCCTTCCATTCCCGACCAATCCTGGCACTCTCCTCCAACCCACAGGGTGCAGCCCGTCCCGCCTCCTTCACGCCCGACCAATCCCAGCACTCCCCGCCTCCCACATGTTGCTACCCGCCCTGCCTCCTTTCAATCCTGACCAATCCTGGCGCTCCCCGCCCTCCCACATGGTGCAGCCTGCTCTCAATCCTTCTAGGGAAGACGAATTTGAGAAACTCAGGACAGATGTCTGTCAACTGTCCTACTTTACCCGGCTGACACTATACCCCGGGGACGTTTTTAAATGCCACGCAACCTATTATTATGAGCTAGTTAAACTCTTGTCTCACTTTCCTTGTCTATAAAAAAAACAACAG